TTCCCGGTGCCCTCGGCGCCAGGATTCCTTCCGCACGGGTGCACCCTAAACCCTAAACCCTAAACCCTAAACCCTAAACCCTAGACCCTAAACCCTAAACCCTAGACCCTAAACCCTAAACCCTAAACCCTAAACCCTAACCCTGGGCTTGGTACTTTCTAACTTCTGCCGGTGAAAGTTGTGGACAATTTTCAGAGACCGTCATGCCGAGCTTGAATGCTTCGGGACAGGACGATCGTAGTGAGGAGGAGATTGGCTCTACCGTCCTCCTAGAACATGGAATGTAGAGGCTAAAACTTCGTTTAGAATTTAGGGTTTAGGGTTTAGGGTTTAATCTGGGAATAACCCTAGGGAATAGTATTGCTAAATGTTCAGGCCCCGTGTTAATCCGTAGGTCGCACACAGGGAGTCGGAGAAAGAATGCGAGCTTTCCACATGCTGCATGCAAGAACGAACGGTGTCCGCAGTCCTTCTAAACCTTGATTCATCGGAACTTATAGTGTTTTGGGGCCGTAGTAATATACACCTGAATCGGGACTTTCTTTAAGGTGATATTTTTACTATGCACCCTAAAGCCCAAACCCTAAAGTTTAGGGTTTTAGGGGTTAGGGTTTAAAGGTTTAGGGTTTAGGGTTTTAGGGTTTGGGGTTTCCGGAATGATGCACCCGGCGGCTTAATAATTAGAATAGGGTTTTGGGGTCCTTTATAGTACAACTATAATAAGGAACCCCCAAAATGGTATTGGTAATTAGGCCCGTGTATTAGAATGGAATATGGCGCCGGGCTACGGAAACTCAAGATCGGGAGACGGTTTAGAATTCAGGGCTTGGGGTAGAGGGTTTAGGGTGTAGGGTTTAGGGCTTGGGGTAGAAGGCTTAGGGTGTAGGGCTTAGGGGTTTTCTCTTAGGGTAGAGGGCTTCTGGAGCCCTAAACCCTGCAAACACAAAGTCCTAACAGGGCCTCCAGGGACGCTGCTGGAAGTGTCCAGGGCCGGCTAAGGCAAAGAAGTGCCGCCATATATCGGAAAGCCTGGGCACTTGGTGGCCAGCAGAGGGTCTTCATGACTAGAATAGGGTTGGATAAAGTTGTAGTGTCTAGATTTGCTAGACTACGTGTCACCAAGCTTTATAGTCTATTCTCGGGTTATCGAGGAGGGAACTCTAAGGGGATTGTATTACTAACACCCATCTGACACTTAAACTGTGATGTTTCGGGCTAAGGCTTAGGGTTTAGGATGCAGGTTCAGGTGCTTGGGGTTTGGTTCCCGGGATTTGACCCGAGCTATCTCCATGGATCTGGAAGCCCCCCAAACCTCAAAGCCCAATCCAGGCCCCGGCCCTCAGAATTCATAAGAACAAGGCTTTGGGGTATAGTCTTAATATAAGAAGGAGCCCCCAGAGGGAATAGGTATAGTCTTAAAAAGAGAAGGAGCCCCCAAAGGGCATAGGTATAGTCTTAAAAAAGAGAAGGAGCCCCAAGAAACAGTGATGGTGATTGCTTAGGCTTCTGTTACACATACGGGTTCATAAGCACCAAATTCACCTGGGCTAAAGGTCACGGATCATGGTTTTGAGTATGGAAGTCCGATGCCTTCTTCTAGTCCTGGCATGTTTCAAAGCAAAGCATAACAACCAAAAACTAGGTTAGAGCTTACATAGGTTTCTTCAGGGTTTAGTTTCATTGCTGTAGGCGAGTTTTCGCTTCAGTGGGTTGGAAATAGAAGGCTCGAGGAGTCCGGGGAAAAGGCGAAGGTAACTCGAGATGCCTCCTATTGCCCCATGTCCGTGCATTAAGGCATCTACCGTAAACTACGATGGTTAAGGGTTTAGGATTCAGGATTCAAGGTCTAGAATTCGGGATGCGAGGCTGAGCGGCCTGAATCTTAAGACTAGGGCTTTGGGTATTTCTCGGGGGGTGTTCTTTGCTGCATGTCGTCAAGGAACCCACAGAGCAGCAGTATTGCTGATTTTCAAGCCCTTCTCATAGGGGCTTTAATGTTAGAATAGGGTTATGGGCTCCTTTATACTACACGTATAATAAGGAGCCCCCAAAATAGTATTGGTAATTCTTTAGGCCCCTTTATATCACATGCATGATAACAGCTGGATACGATCAAGGGGCACCCAGAAGGCACCCTAAACCCCAAACCCTAAACCCTGAACCCTAAACCCTAAACCTTAAACCCTAAACCCTAGATTCAAGACTCAGGGCTGAGTGCCAAGGGCGTTGCAGTACATCCTGGTAATCCTATAGTATTATAGAAGCCTCAATAATTACCAATATTACTGCTACGATTCCTTAGTAAAAGTATATGCTATAAAGGAACCCAAAACCCTGTTCTGATTATTATGGCCCCTACAGTATCTCTATGAAAAAAAAGACACTAAGTTTACAAGGGGCATACTCCAGACCTCGAAAGTCCTCCATGGACCCAAGCCCTGATGGGAACAAGGGCAGGCGAGAAACGCCCGGGCATCGTCTGGGCCATCCTCGCCTGACGCAAAACGGCTTGCACTACTGTAGGGGCCGTAATAATTAGAATAGGGTTTTTGTTGCATGTTCCAAAATTATACTGTTGGAATACTGGGCCCCAAAACCCTCAGTCTAATTGCAAGGCACCGATATTACATACGACTTAGGATAGGGGTACGGGGTGAAGTTCGGGCTGACCAACATCAGAAAGGCTTCGGGGTCTAGGCTTCCTGGTGGTTTAGGGCTTTAGTTTCCGGGGTGTCTGTTTAAGCCTGCTAGAACCGGCCATCCCGCCTACATAGACTGCAAGCAGCAGGCCGATTATCCCACTCAGTTAATAGTAACCTGATGTAAGGGCCTAAATAATTAGAATAGGGTCTTGGGGTATATTGTACTCTCACTATAATAAGGAGACCCCCAAGATACAATAGGTACTTATCTAGACCCCTCTATTGCAACAACTACTTTCGTAAACTCGAGCACATACTTATCAGGAAACAGTCGGATGCCAGCCGTGTACATGAGGAAGTGAGGTAGCCTCAAAATCTTCGGGCCGGTCGCTCTTTTTTGTCGTGGTGCGGTCGCTTGGTGGCGCGGTTGGAAGCACTGGGTATCCACCGTCTGGGTACAGAACGGCCACCTGCCTTCTTTGCCAGGCGGGCCACTTTTGTTTAGGGTTTAGGGTTTAGGGGGTTTAGGGGGTTTGGGGGATTTAGGGGGTTTAGGGTTTAGGGTTTAGGAGGGTTTAGGGTTTGGGGTTTAGGATTGGGGACCGTTGCTTGCATCTTGCTGGTGTGTACAGGGGGTTCTGTAAGGGTCACTAAAAACTGCTGCTAAAGGGTCTACTTAAGGGCCTTTTTCCGTAGAATAGGGTTTGGGGGGGCCTTTAGGATGTATCTTGTACTATTCATGGATTCGTGGGAAGGGTTTCAGTAGTCCGGCATGACGGTGTACTGCAGCGGCAAGAACTTGGAATGGATGCGGGGGGCCCGTGCGTCTCGGGCCCTTGCAGAAGCAACGTGTCGGCGTGCAGCCAATGTCCACCAGTTGCATCCGTTCCGTGACACTTGGGGGTAGGCGGCGATTGAGCTTCTCGACGTCGATGCAGTTGAACTCAAGCCGGATCCAAGAGCATGCCTTCAAGCACGTGTTGTCCGCAGCTTCTGCATTCGGCGACCCAACCTGCAGCAACAAAGCTTCAGATGCCAAGGTGCACAGCTCGTTGTGACTGAGGTGCACCTCTCGCAGAACGCTCGCGTGCTTCTTGAAGAATGCGGTGAGCTGAGGCTTTGCAGTTTGCTTTGGGTTGGGTTGGGAGCTAAAGCTTGGGGTTCAGGAAAAGGGTGCCAGAAGAGGGGTAGCGAACTGCAAAACCCTAACCCCCTAAACCCCTAAATCCTAAACCCCTAAACCCCTAAACCCCTAAACCCTAAACCCCTAAACCCCTAAAAGCCCTAAAAGCCCTAAACCCCTGAACCCTAAACTCCTAAATCCTAAACCCCTAAACCCCTAAATACCTGAAAGCCCTAAACCCCTGAACCCTAAACCCGTAAACCCCCCAACCCCGAAACCCTAAACCCCATGTAAGCCGCTAAACCCTAAACCCCTACAAGCCCCTAAAGCCCTATAAAACCCTAAACCAGAAAGGCTTCGGGTTTGGAGCTTCGGGCTCGGAGCATAGAGCTCAGCGCGTGGAGAGTAGTAAGAAAAGGCTTTGGGGGTTTAGGGTTTAGGGCTTCAGGGCTTTAGGGTTTAGGGCTTTAGGAGTTTAGGGCTTTAGGGGCTTAGGGTTTGGGGGTTTTGGGGTTTAGGGCTTTAGGGGTTTAGGATTTAGGGTTTAGGGTTTAGGGTTTATGTATAGGGT